GAAGTAACTGCTTGATATACAGTGATTGCCAGATCATTCGGTCTGCATTACTAATGTTTTATGAGCGCTTTCCACACCATCTCATTGAGCAATACTATATTAGACCCGAAAGACTTTAATTTGAGTTTTAGAATTATTTATATTAGTTTTAGAATCATGTACATTAGCTGCAGATAGTATTTAAAACGGGTGGGCAACAATTGACCCCCCGTAAATTGACCCCCCGACAATTTTCCCCCGACAATTGACCCCCCAACAATTAATTATCCCCCCGACAATTGACCCCCGACAATTAGCCCCCCGACAATATAATTAATACAATTAACCCTAACCCTAACCCTTATCCTAACCCTAACCCTAACCCTAACCCTAACCCTAACCTAACCCTAACCCTAACCCTAACCCTAACCCTAACCCTAACCCTAACCCTAACCCTAACCCTAACCCTAACCTAACCCTAACCCTAACCCTAACCCTAACCCTAACCCCTACCCCTAACCCTACCCTAACCCTAACCCTAACCCTAACCCTAACCCTAACCCTAACCCTAACCCCTTTACTGACCCTGACCCTGACCCTGACCCTGACCCTGACCCTGACCCTGACCCTGACCCTGACCCTGACCCTGACCCTGACCCCTGACCCTGACCCTGACCCTGACCCTGACCCTGACCCTGACCCTGACCCTGACCCTGACCCTGACCCTGACCCTGACCCTGACCCTGACCCTGACCCTGACCCTGACCCTGACCCCTGACCCTGACCCTGACCCTGACCCTGACCCTGAGGCCTGACCCTGAGGCCTGACCCTGAGGCCTGACCCTGAGGCCTGACCCTGACCCTGACCCTGACCCTGACCCTGACCCCTGACCCCTGACCCTGACCCTGACCCTGACCCTGACCCTGACCCTGACCCTGACCCTGACCCTGACCATGACCCGATCAATTGATCCCTGTGTAATTACATGGGGGGTCAATTGTCAGGGGGTCACTTGTCGGGGGGTCAATTTTCGGGCGGTCAATGTTGGGGGGTCAATTGTCGGGCGGTCAATTGTCGTACTAAGCCCTAGATTTCGTGACAATTGACCCCAGTGTAATTACATAGGGGGTCAATTGTCGGGGGTCAATTGTCGTACTAAACCCTAGATTTCGAGACAATTGACCCCAGTTTAACTACCTAGGGGGTCAATTGTCGGGAAGTCAATTGTCAGGGGGTCAATTGTCGCGGTACCTATTTAAACATCCAGTTCTTTGTCCTCAAGAAACAATTTTCTCGGTCGGTTGACGAAGGTTTTGACTTAATCTGAAGAACAGAAATATGTTCATATTTTCATCAGCTGCTATGAAGAATATCATGAACACTATCTTAATAACAAGTGAAATATGATCTCTTTTGCATTTTGTAAGCATATTGTCCAGGACAATTGAGGTCAACATTACATGCTCATTGCTCCTGTAGCCTTCTCTTTTAATTAGTTTTCCCAAGGTTTGACACTGGCCCGGTGCGAAATTTGAAGGAATATGGGAATAATATTCCTACTGGTTTCAGGCAGGAATTCCATGTAATGTTGACAAGAAGCAGATTCATCCCCTAATAATGAAATAGTAAGTCAGTAAACGGAAGTTTTATACCTCGCCAAATGATGCGCGTGTTATTCCAATGAAATGCTGGTTATACCTTTGAAATTTGCTTTTTCGTGCACTCAGGCCTCTGATTGGAGGAATCTGAGGGAATAATGGGAATAACGGTTCTGATTGGTCGATTCAGACCAGCCAAGGAATAATTTGCGCGCATTATGCGCAATGTAAATGCTGGCATTGAAATTTCATTACAAAATAAGCTTGGCGTGTTACTGTCCGTAATATGATCCAGCGTGCTAAGCTAACAAGACTCTAGTAAATTGTGCGTGATTTTCAATTAAATGATAAGCTATTTTGATAACAGATACTTCATAGATCAAATTGGTGATTTAACTGTCAATATTCTGCTTTAGCTTATTGCTGCTATCTCAAACGATCTATATTTTGTAGCCGAAACCCCATAATAGATTTATGATATCATCAACCAGATAAAAATCATGTTGTTATATGTTAATTGTTATGCATTATAAATCATATTGTTTAATTTTGTGGAACCATCAAAATTCACACCTCTGAAGCCAAGAATTATGAACAAATTGGCTTTAATTCATTTGAGCTGAAATAGAGATTATGGAACAGACATTAACAGTAAACTGCGGTTTGACTGTGCTGTTTTGTGGGACTAACTAAATAATACAAGCATTTCTTCTTATAAAAATAATTAAAGTTTGATATTTACATTATCACTTTCGTAATCAACAAAGATAGGTAATGCAGATACACTTTTTTCATATTAAAAATAGGATTTAGACTCGGCAAATTTTATATCTAGAATGATTTCATTTTCGAATTAAAGCACTATCCATTATCAAACGCCAAACTAGCCGTGATTTTCATGTCGGAAAGAAATTACAAATAGGTTTATAGCTTGGACGTTGCATTATGATTAACAATTGCAAAATAAATGTTAATAATAACTTGCACATAATATCCCGATATCTTAATTGCTTGTCTTTTCTAAAAACCAGGGGTGGCAAAAATTAACGTTGGCCGGGAGAGTTTTAATTTCTACTCCTCCTCCATCAGCATGATTGTTTCGTTGTGTGAATGAACGGTAGAGACAACCAAATCCAAGAGGGTGAAGGGCAAAAGGAACTGTCCCAGGTTTTCGTGCCAGGAACCCTGAAATGACAATCTTTAGTATTGACTAAAAACACGTATAGTAGTTTCTCGTTGCAGACTGCAGTAATTTAAATATTTTTATTTCAATTTCAGAATTTAATAATTTCTAATTTGTTAGAACATGTTTATGAAGAAAAGGGAGAGGGGCCGGGAGTACAAAAATTTGAACGTGTTTTTGAAGGAGAGGGAGAGGGAGAGGGAGAGGGAGAGGAAGAGGGAGAGGGAGAGGGAGAGGGAGAGGGAGAGGGGTAAGTATTTATAATGTTTTGTTATTAGGTATTTATTTGGAATTGGTTTAATTTGGTTGTAAAGTTATTCTATTATGTAATGAAGTATTTTGTTTTACAGGTTTTGTACATACGACAAATACGGGTTTTATTGGTCAACTAACGGTCATCTAACAAGGGAGAGAGAGAGGGACAGGGAGAGGGACAGGGACAGGGAGAGGGAGAGGGAGAGGGACAGAGAGGGAAAAGGAGAAGGAGAGGGAGAGGGAAAATGAGAAGGATAGGGAGAGGGAGAGGGAGAGGGAGAGGCTGAGAGGGAGAGGGAGAGGGAGAGGGAGAGGGAGAGGGAGAGGGAGAAGGAGAGGGAGAGGGAGAGGGAGAGGGAGAGGGAGAGGGAGAGGGAGAGGGAGAGGGAGGGAAAAGGAGAAGGATAGGGAGAGGGAGAGGGAGAGGGAGAGGGAGAGGGAGAGGGAGAGGGAGAGGGAGAGGGAGAGGGAGAGGGAGAGGGAGAGGGAGAGGGAGAGGGAGAGGGAGAGGGAGAGGGAGAGGGAGAGGGAGAGGGAGAGGGAGAGGGAGAGGGAGAGGGAGAGGGAGAGGGAGAGGGAGAGGGAGAGGGAGAGGGAGAGGGAGAGGGAGAGGGAGAGGGCAAGTGAGAAGGAGGGGGAGGGGGAGGGAGAGGGAAAGGAGAGGAGAGACTGAGAGAAGGAGATTGAGTGGGAAGGGGAGAGGGAGAGACTGAGAGGGGGAGGGAGAGGGAAAGGGGAGAGGGAGAGGGAGAGGGAGAGGGAGAGGGAGAGGGAGAGGGAGAGGGAGAGGGAGGGAAAAGGAGAAGGAGAGGGAGAGGGAAAATGAGAAGGATAGGGAGAGGGAGAGGGAGAGGGAGAGGCTGAGAGGGAGAGGCTGAGAGGGAGAGGGAGAGGGAGAGGGAGAGGGAGAGGGAGAGGGAGAGGGAGAGGGAGAGGGAGAGGGATACGGGTTTTATTGGTCAACTAACGGTCATCTAACAAGGGAGAGAGAGAGGGACAGGGAGAGGGACAGGGAGAGGGAGAGGGAGAGGGAGAGGGACAGAGAGGGAAAAGGAGAAGGAGAGGGAGAGGGAAAATGAGAAGGATAGGGAGAGGGAGAGGGAGAGGGAGAGGCTGAGAGGGAGAGGCTGAGAGGGAGAGGGAGAGGGAGAGGGAGAGGGAGAGGGAGAGGGAGAGGGAGAGGGAGAGGGAGAGGGAGAGGGAGAGGGAGAGGGACAGAGAGGGAAAAGGAGAAGGATAGGGAGAGGGAGAGGGAGAGGGAGAGGGAGAGGGAGAGGGAGAGGGAGAGGGAGAGGGAGAGGGAGAGGGAGAGGGAGAGGGAGAGGGAGAGGGAGAGGGAGAGGGAGAGGGAGAGGGAGAGGGAGAGGGAGAGGGAAAATGAGAAGGAGGGGGAGGGGGAGGGAGAGGGAAAGGAGAGGAGAGACTGAGAGAAGGAGATTGAGTGGGAAGGGGAGAGGGAGAGACTGAGAGGGGGAGGGAGAGGGAAAGGGGAGAGGGAGAGGGAGAGGGAGAGGGAGAGGGAGAGGGAGAGGGAGAGGGAGAGGGAGAGGGAGAGGGAGAGGGAGAGGGAGAGGGAGAGGGAGAGGGAGAGGGAGAGGGAGAGGGAGAGGGAGAGGGAGAGGGAGAGGGAGAGGGAGAGGGAGAGGGAGAGGGAGAGGGAGAGGGAGAGGGAGAGGGGTAAGTATTTATAATGTTTTGTTATTAGGTATTTATTTGGAATTGGTTTAATTTGGTTGTAAAGTTCTTCTATTATGTAATGAAGTATTTTGTTTTACAGGTTTTGTACATACGACAAATACGGGTTTTATTGGTCAACTAACGGTCATCTAACAAGGGAGAGAGAGAGGGACACTGGGACAGGGAGAGGGACAGAGAGGGAAAAGGAGAAGGATAGGGAGAGGGAGAGGGATATAATGCTGACGCTGTAAATAACTGATACATTTATACATTTATACAACTGGAACTATAATTAACTAACCTCATTACTAGAACTACAAGAACGTGTGGTACAACAACTCAACAAGGAATGCTTTTCGTTTCCAAACTGTAGGTTCCTCCATGTTCTGTAGTTTTCGGGTCTGGAAGGTAAGTGAATCTGATTTAAACTTGATATCATTTCATAGTGAATAATAACTGCTGTTGTGCAATGTACAAACTGTTTAGTTAAAATATGAACAACGGCTTGTACTCAGAAAATTCAGCCAGAATAATTTCCATTGTCATCCTGCCAATAGTTTAAGAAAGAATCAGTTCATAAGATTTGCTGTAGGCAGGGACAAAAGGAAATCGCGGCATGTACGGAATCGCGATTTCCCCATTATTTGCGACAAATTTTATGTATAGTTTAATGTATAGAACAAGGCCAAGGGGATACAGAAAATCTCAAAAGATTAAAAGACACATTTCGTAACTACCAAGATGATTCGAAAGTTTTTAATGATTTTAGTTTATTACAGAATGTATCAGAAAATATTTTTGCGAAGGAAGTGATAGTTAATAATACTAATATTTCGGCTCGAAAATGTTGCTATCTAGACTTAAACATTAGTTTTATCAAGGGAAGTTTAGAGTGTCATCTCTACTATAATTCAGAAAATTCTTTTTGTTGTATGTACGACCGCCCACGTGCAAATTAGACGAGGAATAAGAAGTTGCATAGTAACCATGGTAACGAGGGTTGTTACGTGCACGTGCAATGATTGTTTTAACTTCATTTTGATCGGTTTTGTTGATATTACGCTGTGTTTAGCACAAGCTACATTTTAATGGTCTGTATCTTCGGTTTTGTAGGATATTTTTTGATGAGATTAAACTTACTAACAAAAAATACTATCAATATTAGCTTCCTCCCTGTGACCACGGGTTTTCTAGTTTTATGATAAAAGAAAAGATTACAACTTTAAAATTACATCATTTCCTTTTTAGATGGAAACTTTCCAAACAATTTGTCTGGAAAATTTATTTCCCAATTAGTATGATAAGCCAGAGGTAATTCGATACTCAAGGGTTTCAAAAATCGTACCGAACTTTTAGGTAAATTGGTTGCACAAGGATTTAAGTTAGCTGCATTGTGCAACAAGTTTGTCAAGTTTTATAAATCACGACTAAACATTTTGCACCATTTTTGCACTTAGGGGTCGTTCACAATTCACATATTACGTAATCAGCCGAGGGGGACGGGAGGGGGTTTTCCAAATGATTACGCTACTGTCATTTTGACACATGCACAATAGCTATGTGTAAAACTGATTACAGAAGGGGGGAGGGGGTAAAAATTGTCCAAAAAGCGATAACGTAATGTGTGAATGGTACAATAAATATTTGAAGTAGATTAACTCGTGAAACTTACAGGATTGAGAGGGAAGTCCGAACGTTACCATTACAGTAGGGTCACCAATAGGTACTGACCAGTGGCCATACTGTCTCCAGTTCTCCTTCGTCTGCAGTGCTGATGGCGATTGACGGACTCCTGTGTAAACTGAATGATTGGACAATTGTTCAAAATTTAAGCCGTACATAATGTCAAAAGCTAGCTAGATTAACTAGCAAATGGTCTGTTGATTATAAAGATACGACAAAATAACTGAAGGAAATAAAGTTGAAAAGTTAATTCATTTCATGGAACCTGAACTATTAATTAATTAATCAATAATCATTGATTCAAAATTTTTGTAACAACTTTCATAAATCTTAAAAATAACCCACCAATTCAGGATGTGTTAAGGAGCAAACTCATCTTCTCATCACACAACTCTGATAACAAGATCCAAGATATAGCTGTGCATGTACAACCATCACAGAATCTTCAGCAGGCATCAGCTTTAACAAAACTATTTGATGATAATTGTGTTTTAGCGGTAGAGCTTTTTAATACAGAGCATTGCATAGCCTGCTAACTGCTTGTATTAAGTAGTAAACTATATTATTAAACGAATAGAAAATTGTACCAATTATCCCAAAAATCAACGAGAGTGTAATTAGTTATTGTTCTTAATAATATAACTAACCTTTAATCTTTATCGATTGATTGTAATGTCAGTAGAAATTGCTGTTTAAAATCCTTAATATGGAATAATTTAGTCTGGTTATTTTCGATAATTTGGTAAAATCTTGAAATAAAGATTATCGTGTTGTTTAAAAAAGTAATATATATCTGAATTTGTAACTGTTTATATTACAGTTACAAATTTAGACAATGCAAAGTATCAGTTGTTGCAAGATGACTATTTCAGTCCCAATCATGATTGTCTTTTTATAATCAAGATAAAGAAAAAATGATTTATTAACGTTGATTAGATGATAACTGAGTAGAGATGATATTCCTTTGATCGAATTGAACTGTGCGTTACAACTTTGTTTATAAACAAAAAAAAGCTGAAAAAGGACTATTATTGTTTTGTCATAGAAAATCTAAAACGCAAGGACAATAAGTTCTGTATGTCAAGTTTAAATAAACTCTGTTCTTATCATCATCAGGATAATAGTCAGTCGTTTCTCGTTATGAAAAATAAAATTGTGTAGCTGCTATATTTACCCATTTCATTACATGAAAAATTTAATTAAAGGGGTTGATCACATATTAATACATTACGTTTTCACTTTTTGGAGCATAAATTCATAAATGATAACGTATTTTGTAATATGTGAACGACCCATAAATCAATTAATAATGGACAAATAAATAATTACATGTGCATGGTACCATAAACATTTATTGTTGTATCATATTTTTGGAGCCCTACCCCGGGCAGCTTTAGCTTTTAAACTTGCAATAGCGCGCGTGACCGTAATTGGCAATCGAAATTGTCTTTTTTCGTAAAACAAGCTTGTCACGTACCACTTTTTGATTATTATATACGCATATGCACGTTAATAAATAAAGTACGTAACGCATGACTTAAGCTGCGCGTCTTAACATAATTATAAACTAGAACTGATGCAATGTAAATTACTAAATTGATGGCATAACATGTAAAAATATAAATTTAATCACGATCAGAAAGATGTATGGATGAATGATGATAATTAATTACTCTACACTCGACTGTCACGGACTTTTTAAACACGTTCTCTAGCTGGCCCTGAATGACTATTCGAAATTTTAGCCCTCTAATCTGATCCCAACCCTAACCCAATCTTTAAAAAGCATACACTGAAACCCTAACCACTAACCCTAACGAGAAATTAGACCAACTTCATTATACGGTCATATCATGTGATCGAGACAGTTTTTCCCTTATATCTTTTTAATAAAATTATTCAAACAATATACACATAATATAGCAATGACCCTATATAAAATCAAACCTTTAAGAATATACAAAATTCCCTAAGCACTCAAAAATTACCCTTGGCCTTGTGGCTCCAAGTTAAGATCTAAACTGTTTATATTAACAATGTTTTTTCTTGCACCTCTGTCTCCACGGAGAGAAATCACTGTTGTTCTTAGGATTTCAAAGCGAAGGCGCTTTCTGATGTAACCTACAGCATCCGAGTACCTCTGGCCAGTGTGGTACTCCATCTTACTGGCCAGCTTTTTTACCAGTTTTTCAGCTTCACTACCCATTCCACCAGAAGTCGAGAACACTAAAGGTGTGAAGGTTCCTTTCTCCACTTCAAGAACCCTTGCGTTGTAACATCGCTTTTTCTCATTTTCATGGGACTGGTACATTGCTGGGATCGATTTGCTTGCATTGGAGGGGGCTGGGGCATGAAATACCCTTACATCAAAATATGCCCTCTCTGAAGCATTCCAAATCGATCTTGCAGAAATGTCCAGCCTAGCTTGGTCTCCAAGTACTGTTCCCTTAGGCAACTTCAGACCATCAACTGGAAGAAGAACTGGCTCAGTCTGCACATCCTTGCATTTCACAGTTCTCATGAGTTCAGCAAAGGTGTCTCTCAGCGAGTTGTGCCGCAGTGACACATATCCACCGAGTTTGCAGATAAGTGCATGGTTTGCTGAGAACTTTTGGCCACACGTACATGTCTTAGGGCTGTCCTTTAAGTTCAGGTTGTACCTGAGAGCTAATGCGTCTGAGAACTGTTGTTTGTTCATCAGATATCCGTACTCTTTTAAAGGTAGTGCTGTTAACCAAGCACTTGCCCCTTTCTCAGCAGCTAGTTGGAACATCAACTTTGCCAGTGGTGTTGACTCGAGCTCCTGGCGTATTTCCGCTTGTTTTTGTCGATAGAAGAGATTTCTTTCAGTTGTTATCTCAGTTTTCACTCCTTTGCTTACTCTCCAGTCCTCTGTGTAGTTGTCTACCTGCTTGAGAATAGCTTCTTTAAGGGGTTTTGTGGCTCTACATGAGAATTTGTACTCTCGGTCTGCCATGTCCATCATAACTGGTATACCCAATCCTCCATATCTTGGTGGTAGAGCCATTATGTTCCTTAGTTCATCAGTGCAGCTAAACAGCCTGTTGATGATAGCTGGGATAAACTCATCGCGTGTTACTTGTTCCAGAGGAGTGAGCCTATCTGCAACTCCTGGGGTAGTTCTGCACACATAGTTCCATCTTTTACTAAGCCCATACATGTATGCACTGTATGCTATTTGAGGTTCTCTTGATGCTATATCACTTAATTGTTTAAGATCACGACACCATTCTTGAACTTTTTCCTCGATGAAAGCCCCATTTCCTTCATCAGTTCCGATAAAGCTGCCCAGATATCGTCGACCAATACTTGTCACATTGACATCTGGGAACAAGTTTCTTGCCTTCTCTTCGTGCTCAGGCTTGACTATCACCCATGTCTTGGAAGATTTAGGGTTGTAACCAAAAAGTGGTCCTTTAATGCAGAGGTTATCCCACCATTTCCTCATTTCTTCCAGTTTTCCCCCAGCAGCAGAGTCATCAGCATACCAGATCTGAGTCACTTTTCTCTCAATGTTTCCTGCATCAATCAATGGTATTGTACCACATGCATAAAATCCCATAGCAGGTGGATCACCTTGTGTTGTCCCTTCTTCACTAAAAAGATGTTCATCTTCTCCTGCAATAAACAGTCTAGCAGGCATTCTGTAGGTGTTCATAATGTAGGTAGCAACTTCTGGACATACAATATACATGTTGTTAAGAGCTGCCTCTCGGTTCAGCAAGTTGAATGCATTCTCTGCATCCACTAAGATGATGGCTTCAGTTTCAGGATCTTCAAAGCAGTCCCTCGCAGCATGAATAGCTGCTTCCACTCCTCCCTGAAGACCAGCACACACTTGAATAGGAGCAGTGGCACCAACCAGATCCTTCTGTAGGAGGGTCATCACTGTCTTCCCTATTATCCTTCGTAAGACTTCACCAATGCCAACAGGCCTGACGCCAGGCTTTTTATCCAGGGGAACAAGTCGACATGCTGTCAATGAGGTCAACATCGTTGGATCCAGATTCCTGACACATAGTTTCCTTGCTATCCCTGCTATAGCATTGCATAGATCCTCACACTTCTTACCAAACTGTTTAGAACACAGTAGTCTCTTCCACGCATCCGCATCCATTCCTGAAGGCCCTGCAGCACCCTGTACTCTCTTTGCTGCTTGTCTTATCGATTCCCCGTCAATACTGTCAAAGATAACCGGCTCTACTCTCCTCACTGGTCCACTCAGACAGCTTCCCTTTGATGCAGGTGATGCCTTGGGATGCTTCTCTTTCAGTACTTTTATCACATCTGGAGTGGGTTCAAGAATCCCGGTGGCATTTTCGCCAATCCACCTCATTGCTGCACTGACTTTACCTTTCATCATAAGTCGAGTGAAGACTCTCTCAACATGGCCATGTTCATGTTTCCCCTTTCCCATTCTTCTCTGAATCTCCTGTCCTTCTCGCAGCAACTCTTCTAACTTACCTGCCTGCTACAAAACAAGCCTTCTCTTCAACACTTCAGTGTGTTCCTTTGCTTTGGATCTCTTTGAGGGTTTCTGCAACAGTAGTGATGGCATTATCATCAAAAGGGTCATGGTCACTGATTCCATAGTACTGCCTGCTGAAAAATTGTTGGCCACTTTAGTCATTTCCTCGATGAATGCTTTTCCTGCAGCCCCTGAGGGAAGCAGAAATATGTTTCTTCTCCATTTGACTACAACACCATATATTCCCTCACATTGTGTTAGAACTTCCCAACTATTCCATGATCCTAATTTCAATTGAGATGGATCCCTTACATTTTCATAACCTGGGAAACAGCACTCCTTTCCCTCTTCTTCCACAATATGAGGGTCCTTTGATATTGGAGTAGATGGTTGTACACTTTCTTCGACCTGTCTCCTCAACTTTCGGATAGCTTCAGTTATGGGGTTTTCGTCTTCGTCTTCGTTGCTCTTCTCCTCCTTGCCACATCTTTGACATGACCACTCAGAATCCTCATTTTCTGCAAGGTCTTTAAACTGCAACTCCGACAGTCCACTACATGCCGCATGGAACCATCGTCCACATTTTCCTTCACATTGAATACAATCACATATTACCTCCTTTGAACAAAATCCACAGATATCAGCTTTCTTTCCAGTTTGTTTTCCTACTTTGGACCTAGTGTCCATTTTTCTTGTGTCAGGCATTCCAACCCAAAAATGGGAACCACTACTGTTGCCGAGTCGGTTACCAGCAGACACTGAAGCTTACCGCTGTCAGCCCCTACTGGATACGAGTCTCCTTAACAGTAGTGGACCCAAATTTGGGATCTGATGGAGTAGTCTCAACACCAGAGGATTTTACAGCTCAAGCAAAAAAAACATGTACCACACATACAATAAGAGAAATAAGATACACACAGAAAATACATCCGATGAATTTTTTCCCTTATATCTTGCCATGTGAGCATTTTAACCCA